TACAAGCTGCCCGTCATGATGTTTTTTTTTGAGTTTTTAAAAACTGACCTTAATTTCCTAGTACTTAGTACTAAGTGGGGGTTATGCGACTTGCTTGGTTGGCCCTTTTGCCATTTGCTTTTTGCTTCTTTTCCTACACAGCAATCTGAGGCCCGGTGCCTTCTGAAGGCGAGGAACAGACCAAGCCCGAGCCAGCTGCGGATGATAAGTCCATGGCAGCGGCCTCTGGCCAGGTGTTCGTCGACCCCAACATGACAGCCGCCGCTGCCGTCGAAAATCTGGTTCAGGCTGTCAACCGACTACAGAAGGCTGGCGAGAAGGACGAGGGCCAGGATCCGGAGTCAGCTGAGACGTTAGCCAGGCTGTTTGAGTTGTTGGAGACACAAAAGGTCCAGCAACAGACGCTACTGACGCGACTCACAAAGGTCACGAACCAGGCTGAGGCAGACCAGCGCAAGAAGGAAGTTTTCGAGGTCATGTACAACCGTGACTTTTCGAGGCTGAGGCACCTCCTGTGCAACGAGCTGCCGGTCTCAGAGCTGGCTACCCTGCGCGATCACCAAGGCATGAGCCTTGCTCATCATTTGGTGCGCACAGGCTTAAAGCCAGGTTTGGAGTGGGTGTTGCCGTTAGACAGCACTTTGGGAGATTTTTTCCTCGCAGTTCTAGTTTTAGTTTGTAGAATGTCGGCAACCTTTTTATGCTTGTGGTTTCCGGTCCTTTTGATACAACCCAGGTCGAAAGCCCCTTCATTGGCGGATGTGGCAACACTTCCATCCGGTATGCCGCCCAATTGGACGCCTCTCATGGTGCTCGTGGACAGTCCTCCTGGACAATTGGGTGGCATTGAATACGCGTACAGCATGCTTTGCACGCTGCTCCAGCACATGAGCGCTACTGGCATTCAGAGCTTTGGCCTGTTTAAAGTTTGAGCTTCTTGCAGTCTTCAATGTTCAGTAGCTTCCTGCTGAGGAAACAGGAAACAAAGGGAGGGTTTGAAAGAGCCTTCAGATTTCGGCTTCTAAATTCTTTGCAGGCTCAAGGTGCCTACGCTGTTATGGTGACCACTGTGCTGTGCTGCAATGCTCCTGGCAATGGCGTGGTCTGATGACATTAGACTAATGTTGCCAAAGCAGAGAACTCTCGTCAGAGTTCAGAAGGCTGAGAAGTGGCTTGGTTGGGCCTTGGGCCGGGTTTGGCAAGACATCTCAGACAGGCGTCAATCCAACCAGGTGTCGTTTCCATTGGAAACACCTGGTTGGAATTGATGCCGGTCTGAGAAGGTTGGGCAAGCACCGGCAGCTATGCCAACATGGCCTTTGGCCCCGTTGCCCACGTCGTCTGCAGAGCCATGACGGTTGACCCTATTCTAAGACTCTTAGAATAGGGTCAACCGTCATGGCTTTGTCTCCACCCGCAAGCTACTCTATGAGCTGTGGTCCATGGTGGCGGCTATTATGCGGAAAACCCTGGCCTCGGGAACCGAAATTTCGATCCTGGAGAACCTATGGACTGAAGCCCAGTGGCCAGCCTGTAGCAAGCCGGCAGGCCATGCTGGATTGCCTCTCCAGCATGGCCTGCCTGGCTTGCTACAGGCTGACTCTGATGTGATGTGTTTCTATGACATGGCCGGCCGCACAGATGGAGAAGAGGCTAGCATTGTCAGTGTCGAATGCCAGGTCATCGCACATTAAGGCAAGGTGGCAGCTGAGATCCGGTCCTGAGGCGTCTGTAGTCAGTTCTCACGATTCACGATGAGCTTCGTAGCGAGTCTCTAAACTTCTGACCTTGTGGCAGTGTACAGTGAAGCGACCAAAATGGCAATGACATGTTGGAAGACATGCCGGTGCCAATGGGGACAGCTTTTTTGGTATTACATGTTTAGAATGTTAGAATTCAGGTTTTCTTCCAGAGTTCCGACAGGCTTTTTTATATCAGGCCAAGAACACACACACACACACACCTACACACACACACTGTCACACACTTGACACAACGACTTAGGAGTTAGGAGTTCTATGTCTTTCTTGAATAATCACAAGGGAACTAAGAGGCGGCTTATAAGTCAAGTCGGTAGTTTATAGATTTTATTAGACTACTTGTTCAATCCCTGAATGCCAAAATCGTTCCTCCTTGAAAACCTGGAACCTAAAGCTTGGGTAACTAGTCTTTGCACACGCAACTTGACAAAGCTCAGCCGAGGACCCGTGCCGCAAGTGGCAGTACCGCGCTGCACATAGCGGCGTCAAGGGGGCAGCTCAGCTTTATCAAGAAGATTTGCTGGTCTCTCTACCACAAATTGGGCGGATCGTCCGAGTACGGGGGCGAAAGATCGACCGCGGCTTTCCACATGGTCGGGGCTTGCCTGAACTCGCCAGGTGGAAAAAAAGGACAAGGAGTCGTGGACATGGCTCTTGGCAACAACATCGAATGCGCAACCTACCTCAAAACAACATGGGGTGGACGCGAACTTTTGGAAAACCCGCGCAAGCGGGGACAGGGCTATGTCTGAGCGGCGGTCTTTGGCATTTGGCCAGGTTGCAGTGCCATCTGGAGCTTATTAGTTACTAGTTATTAGGGCCGGCCTTTGGCCAGATTGCAGCTAAAGTCTTGACTGGAGAAGTTTGAGACGCAGTTTTTCATCGGCTGTGATCGTTGCCTGCCTTAAGCCCTAAGCTCCAGCTGAAGCTGCGGCCTGTGGCCGGGTTGCAGTCTCACTTGCCTGCTGCAGAGTCATAGTCTAGTGGCATATTAGCGGCATGTTGACATTCTGTTGATGATGGTCATCATTGCAAAAAGCATCAAAACTTGATGTGTGATTGCAGGCAAGCTGAGATTAGCAACCCATAATACGAGAGACGAGAGTTGCTTAGCCGCAACGCAAACCTTTTTTGTGGCTAGCCTTTGGCCGGGTCGCGACGCAGAATAGAACCACATCGTTTTATGCATCGCCTGCCTTGGCTTTTGGCATCGTTTCAATTGATTCAGGATACACAGTAAGTTGTTCTGCGTCGTCGGCCTTTGGCCTGTACTTTAGCCCGTTGGCCTTGGGCCTTAGGCCTCGTTGCACCGCCTTGGCTGTGGGGCAACGCAAAAGAACCGCTGCGGCAGGCCACCAGTCCGGTATGATGTGTTGGCTCCTTCGATTTCTTAGATCTAGTATGCAGTATGTACTCCTGATGTTGTGGTAATGGTTGCTACTGTTTTGGTAGATTCTAGCAAGCTCTGATTGTATCAGGCAAAGTCAGGAAATGTGCCGACGTCTGCGTGTTCATATGCACAGATCATTGAGCATGCTCCGCTATGCAATCCCGACAAGCTTGAAGCCAACCTTGGAAAGCCGTGTCCCCAGACTTTGCCGAGAGATAGGTATAGATATTGAATATGGATGATTTAGATGGATGTAGACGATTGGATGATACATAGATGGATAGAAAATGAATGAGTCGTAGATAGGCAGATATATAGATAGATAGTATGAGGCTAGTGTGACATGTTGGATACCCAAGCAGCTCCCAGCCCCTAGCCAGAAGCTTTGCGCACCAGCCCTTATATTGATCCTACCTTACTCTTGCTCCTGCCTTTTCTGCCTTTTCAACTACCAAGCATTTGTTCGCCTCGCAGGACCGCCAGTCCACGTTTGTGCCGGTCCGCCTGATTGCTGCAAGGACCGGGAAGAGGCGGTTGACACAGCAATGCAGCTCTTAGAGCGGGTCATGCTAAAACCCATTGCAGTTCCTGCTCTCAACAAGTGGACCAAAGTAGCTCCCTGCGTGCGTCACGTGTCCTTGCTGCAAAACTTTTGCCAGCTTGCGCCGAAAGCCTTTGAGGCAGCATTCCAGACTGCTGGCATGGTCGCAGACCAGGTTTCTTCAGAGGACGAAGGCGAGCAAGTGGGTGCACCTGTCAACGAGACCAAGGTTTGGAGAAAGCTTGCCAAGCTGCGCCTTTGCAAGGCAGGTTTTTTCTTGCAGGATGAAACGGCTAGATGGTCCACGTGTGTTTGGATGGTACTCAGTGCGCCTGTGATGAGAATTCACTATTCGCTTTTCAAGCATGCGACCTGGCACACCCACAGGAAACAGGACCTGGAGGCACAGGCAGCGGATGCACTTGATGCGTTCACGACTGTTTGTTTTTGCAAAGCAGCCGAAAACCCTGCCAAGAAAGCTTTGGAAAATTTGGGTGTCTTGTTGCTAAACTTGGAAGATGATTCCTGGGGCCTGCTGTTTTGGCCTTTGGCCCGGTTTTGTCATGGCCCCAGACCAGGTTGAGAACCACCAGGCGGAGCTTTTGTGTTGTCATTGGACAGTTGTGGCGCAAGCTGTTGTATCCATGGTCACAATTTCCATGGAAGCTGGCTGTTTTGGTAGACCCAGCAGAAACGGCAGCGAACAAAGAAAGCTGGGCAAAAAAACTGTTTGATGTTCCGCATTGCTGCCTGGATGGTTTCTCCAGAAAACTGAGGGAAAGGACAGCCGATCCTGAGGGGTTAGCCCAAGTTGATGTTTTGAATTTTTTGGAGGAGGTTTTTAACCGGGTGGTGCCAACATCAACCTTTATCGAGCGCATGTTTGCACGCTTGAGTGAATGGAGCACTCCTCGCAAAGGCCCCAAACCAAAGCTATCCAGTGTGTGTGCCAAGCATTGCAACCACCAGTTTGAGCAATGCGTTTCTTTGTGGCGCCTGAACACCCTGAAAGTTAAAGGCAGGAACAAGCACAACAGGCGACCTGCATGGGTGATGCCAGCCAACACAGTTGTCAATGGCTGGAACTTATTTCAGCAAGATTTGATCGCTCGCAATCCAGCTTTGCAGGCTTTGTCGCTAGCAGAGATGGCTGCAGCCACGAAGACGGAGTGGTCTAAGCTGTCCAGAGACCAAAAAAAGCATTGGGGCGCTTTGGCCCGGGCTCAGAACTTGGATTCCGTGGATGACGCGGCTTCAAGCCAAGTTCCCGAGCAGACCGGTGGGCCTTGGAACGCTGCCTCGAGCCACGGCTTTCCTTTGGCTAGGCATCTCATTGCAGACAAGTGCCACGAGGCCACCAAGGTTGGTACTGCATTTCGGAAGGCACACAATGTGCTGCAACCTGAAGGTGCTGACAGCATGTCTGGTGAGCCAGACCCGCAGTGGCCTTTGCTTGCCCCCTGCCCGGTCGATGCGTGTGAGCATTGCCTACCTGAGGCAAGCAGGCCCACCATGAGCCGTCTTTTGGACTTGTTCTGGAAAGTGATTCTGAAGCAGGCTCCAAGCCTCAAGGCCACAGGGTCTGAACCTTTGGTTGTGTCGTTTCATTCGCCGAGCACCCGAAGAATTCACGATGTGGCCGTGATGTTCCACACGTTGCGGGCTCCACATCAAGCGGCTCTTTTGGTTCTCCATAGAGAAGAGTCCCCAGAACTGATGGCAGATGGCATTTTGGCCAGCTTGCACGCTAGCCCTTTGGGCAGGTTCAGGGGACAGCTTGACATTTTAAGCGAAAGCATGCTCTTGGCAAAAATGGCCACAGAGGCGCAAGATTGGGAGATGCGGATTGCCAGGCTTGGGCGGGGTCAGTTGCTAAGCCGCTTTGATGTTATTGGTGAGTCAGCAATTGACGAAGATGAGTACCTGGATTCGAGGCGATCGCGTGAACAAATGGAAGCCAACGCGGCTTTGGCTGCATTCGCTTTGGCACACCCGGCTGAGCAGCCTAAACGCACAAGTGCAAAAAAGCCTGGCCAAGGCCCGGCCCAGAGACCCAAGACACAAGCACAAAACTCTTTGCAACAGGAGAAGAAGCTCCAGGGAATCATTCCATTTCTCTCGGATTCGGAGTCTTCTCACGCGGAAGACTTTGGAGCTGAAAAGGCCAAGGCCAAGGCGGCCACGGCAGCAAGCTTGGCAGTTGACGAAGCCGAGGTTTGGCTTGGAAGCGGCTGCGAAGAGGTTGCAGCCCCAGAGCCAGCAGGCAACGCAGCGGCTTCAAGCCGGGATCCTGCCACCCAAAGAGGAACGGTCCAACATCGCGCCACAACTTGGGGCTGTTTTACAATTGGGCGGCACACATCCAAGTTTTTTGGAGACGGTTGGGTCGCAACCTGCGGCATGCATCACAACTCAGACGACAAGACTGGCGTGGTGTGCAGAAAGGTGCTTCCTGTGCAGAACCTGACTGAGGCGGAATGCAAGCTTCGCTTGAAGCGCTGGCTTGTAGCCGGGTTGGATGAAGCCAGCATGGGGGGCAGTAAAGCCAGGTCTTTGCACCTTGCCAAAGGCGGCCCAAGGTTGAACCACTTTGCCACAGGCCTTCCCGAAGAGGAGCTTGACAAGCGCGTGGGGGCATGAAGGCAAAAAAGTTTTTTTGCTTGTGTGGAGCTGAAGTGCTTGCTGCAGGCTGCATGCTGGTATGATGTTGCTTCCCAAGGACCAGGAGACCGTGGCTCAGAGTCTAGTCTGGTAGGTGCAGCTAAAACAATATTGCAATAATATCTGAAGAGGAAATCTCTGTGGTATTATTATTCCAAACTATTTTTAACAAATATTGTTATTATTAAACTATTATTAAAACAATTGTTCAAACTATTACACAAACTATTGCTAATAAAAATCTCCGCTTATCTTTTTCGTTTCTCTGCTTATCTTTTTTGTTAGCTGCTTTAAGTTTATGTAAAACAATAAAAAGATAAGCAGAGATCTCTGCTTATCTGGGCCGAGATTTCTATTGACAATTGTTTTGATAATTGTTTTGATAATTGTTTCAAAAGTTTGGTTAATAGTTTGGTCAATAGTTAATTTGTTCGCACATTCTCTGGAATTGTTCTGGATCGGCCCAAGATTTGTTTTGAGTCGCTGTGATTGCTCGGTTAGTGCCAATGGAAGCAGGGGAAGAACACCCGTCCGAAGAAGCCCAGCAGCTGGAGACGCTGCTGGAGCAGTCTGACGCTGAGTCGGAAACGGAAAAGTCTGTGGCAGCACCAAGCTCCAGCGTGCCCAGCTTCAAGGGACTGCTGGGTCTTGCAGTCAGCTTTGCGCACTCCAAGCCGTGCAGGTGCTGCTTGTGTGGCTGCACTAGCACCGATCCCAGTCCCCTTGTGGGTGAAGGGGATAACCAGGTCGATCATGTTCTGCTAGAGGCCGCTGAGCTGCGCAAGCGGCCTTGGGCCAAGTACAGAAGGATCATCGCTGATGGAGAGGCTCTGCGAGTGCCTGAAGGAAGGTGTTGTGGGCCCTGCATCAACGTGTTTCGCCTACTAGGCTTGAGACATTTTAACCCTGCAGAACGACTGGATGGCGCGTGATGATTTATTTACGAAAACAATACAAAATAAATACGAATGGAAAATACGATGCCTACAAAAGGCATTTAATAGAATACAAAAAAAAACAATAAAAAAACTAAGGAAATAGTATACCTAGCTCGGCTTCCAACCCAACTGTCCGTGGTAATGATGGCGATAGTTCGGTCCCTATGACACTGATGAATGAAGATATTCTGCTCAACCCATGTCCGGCTACCTGTGTGTAGAGTCTAAACCGAAAACGTTTCCAACCTAAACTATGTAATCTGGACATGGCTCTGAATTTTGCCGTGTTCGGGGGGTGGGGGGGATTTGGGCAGAGTCTTGAGTCTCGGGCCCACGTTTTGGGGAGGCGAGGAAAAGCATCGGTTTGTGTAGGGAATCCCGTTTTGCACCAATTTCAACGGCTTGTTCCATGTCATATCCGAGTCGAAACCGAGTACCAGGTTCAAGTATTTAGCCTATAAAGGCATTCAACAGCACTGAACCTTTTTGGCTGAGGGTCAAGCCGCTTTGCTTTTCAATGAGAAGTTTTACAGTGATGCTCGAGACCCAAATATTAGTATGTTGTAGCCAACAGCCAGATTCTAGATTCTAGTTATTCTCTAGTTATTTAGATCATTCGAGTCGTCGTAAAATTTTCTCGGTCCTAGTCCTAGAGTCCTGAAACCCTAGGCCCCAGGTCTAGATTCTAGATCTCATATTGTCCCCTAGCCTACAATCCTACGACGTCCCATATGTCCTAAAGTCCTAGAGTCCTAGGGTCGACAGATTGTAGACACCTTGCAAGGGAGAAGATTTGCTGTATTTCACGACCCGTCCGTGTGCACTTATTGGGCAGCAGAGGGCACATCAACACATTGCAACTTTGAATACGTTCATACTATCCAAGGCACATTTATCTGTTGGCCAGCTTGTTTTCATGGAATCGGGCAGAACTTTAAACCCAAACTTTGATATCTTGTAACTCAAAGATCTTGTCAGGTCGGGGCCCTCTGGATTCTCGATTGATGATCTGGCGACAGAATTAGGCAGACGACCTCCCCAAGTAGACCCGGCCAAGCAACAAACAAATTGCCCTTGAAAGACTTGAACTCAGTTTGCTTTTCGGGAGCATCAAGTGCAGTGGAGGGCTCTAAAGCACAATGTAGAGTGCAGACTCCAGGGCCTAGGGCCTTTCGAGCTCTGGGGCTCTAGGGCCCCTAGATTCCCTAGATTAGTCCAGTCTACAAATGTAGAAACAAGGACCTAGGACAGAAGGATTTGCGCCGAACGTGTGATTCAACTTCGCCTGCTTCGCTGCTTGATTTTTTTGGTTTGCAGTTGGTTCTGGCCAATGATGAATATTGCTGTATGTCTTCTGCCCACAGCCTGGCGAGGGAAGCAAATCATAGTCATAGCAGCCATGCCATAGCATCAGACGCACGCCGTATGTGTTGCCAGTAGCCCAGTAGCTGCTGGTGCTACTGCTAGCTGCTAGCTACAACTGCTAGTGACTAGTGGACTTGGACATGCGGCACAGTCGCTTCTCACCATGTTAGGGCTAGGCTAGTCGTGTGACTTCCGTGTTCGGCAGCCATGGGCTGGGGGCACGTCGCCTCGACCTTGTGCGAGGCGCAAGGCGAAAGTGGCCATGCCGGCCATGCTTCTAGGTGGGCGGTGGTGGCCGAAGATGTTTGTCTTTCTCAGGAGTCTAGTGACAGCCTGATGGAAGAAGCAGATGCCCTTTGCGAAAATTCAGATGATGATACGTTGCTGATTCCCGAGCCACGACCTGGGTATGCTGATAAATCATGGTGGGCACGGCAGCTGGAGCAACATGCATTGGCATTAGGCTACAAAGTCTCAGCAGACAGTGCGAAACCGCTTCAGTTGGTTTCTTGCTGCAGCGGGGCGTGCACGGAAGCAACTGCACTCAAGGACTGCAGTTCAGTTCAATCATTCGGTTTGTTGGCTTCTGCGCTAATCCGGGCTCCTACGCACCTAGCTCTTAGACTCTTAGACGTTTGGCCAAGCGGCTACCTGCTCGCATCTCGCAGCTAGCAGCTATACTATAGTGCTAAACTTCAGTTTCACACGTCATTCTGCAGTGTCAGACCATAGCAAACCCCCCAAAGCCTCATTCCTACATGCGGAAATCATAGCCCGACAGTTGCATCTGTCCAGGAGTTGGGCATTCCTTTCCGATGCTTGTCGACGTCAGAGCCGGACTCAGATTTCCGCAGCTTTCAAGCTGCCAACCATACGATCGAGCAGCAGTTCACGAGTCTTCAGATGCAAGTTTCTGCGCATGAGTCTTCGCTTCGTCAGTCTAGAAGTTCCGAGCGCTCTGCAGATGTTGACCTCTTGGTTTGTGGCAGCCCGTGCAACCCTTTCAGCAGGATGAGAGGCAAGCGCTTCCATCAGGACAGTGTCATGAGTCACAAGAGTTACGCCACGACTTTCGTGGATGTGTTCAAGGCTTTCGAGGCTTTTGAGCCAAAGACTGCAGTGATGGAGCAGACTGCAGGGTTCGGATTGCCTTTCGATTGTTCGACATCAGAGACGCCCTTGCAGAGGCGGGGCGAGCAAGTCGTGTAAATTCATGAGGTCCTTAGGTCCAAGCTTTAGGTCCGGCCCATCAGCACTGTACTAAAGGTCATGTGGGACACTGTAGGTCTGTAGGTTTTGAGTTTCAGTGTATGGCCATAGTGCTGCCAAGTCCTGGCCTTTGAGCTGCTACTGGCACAAAATCGCGGGACCCTATACCTATACGCCGAACATAAGTAATAACTTGCTACTTGCTCATTAATTGGATACCTAACTACTAATTATTCACTCATTGTCACCAATCAAACTTCCTGCCGTCCCAAAGCCTTACGGTTTACCCAAAAACGAATTGGAAACTTTTAACTAGGTTCAGCCGTATCCAGTATCCATTATTTATAGGTCATTATTACTACTGTTGAGTGAGTCTTGTGGTTCGCTCCTGCCGCTACTATTTGTTACTAGGTGGTTACAGTACCTCAAGAATAGGTCCGTCCCGAGACGCGGTTCCGGCATGCCAGTGCAGTTGAGCTGGGTTTGCTTCTTGGTGTCGCCACTTCCATTGTTCTCGGGAGGGGGTTGTTGGTGTTGGGGAACGGGGCTTCACGGCTAGCGGCGGCTAGCGGTTATGCGGCCATACTACACTGCCAGTTGAGAGCCTCGCCAGCTAATCGGCTTGCAGATGCAGTTGTAGTTTTTGTAGTAGTAGTCAGTAGTCAATTGTAATAAGTCCTAGCGGCTAGCGACTATATTGAGATTGTATCGACTTGCACTGCAGCAGTTGGAAGGGGGTGACCATCGCCCATCAACTTCATATCATCTAACCGAATCTAACCAGATCACATGACTGAAGAACAGCTTTCAGCTCTACATTGTCATAGGTGCTCGTATCCCGGGATTGGCCGGTCCGGTGGATACCCGGTAGATTTGAAACAGGTCCAGGACCCTAGGACCTAGGAGTCTAGTTACTAGAGTCTAGTTAATCGGTCAAGTACGTTAGTAGGTCGTAGAGTCGTAGATGTGATAAAAGTACTGACTGACTTACTCGTCACCCCTTAAACCTGCTGAATCTTTCGTCACGGTTTAACCGTTGAACCGTCCCCAAGTCACACGCACTGACTCTAGGCCCTAGGCTCTAGTGACTCTAGTGACTCTAGTGACTACTCTAGTGGCCTAGCCCCAGCCTTGACCGTAGCCGCCGAGCCGCCCTTGCCCAAATTTATCGCGAGGTTCATCGACGGCTTTGGCGAGTGCAAGTTCACCAAGGGCGGCTACTGGATCGTCGTCATCAAGTGCGAGCTCTCGATCTGGGTGAAGCTTGCTCGGAGCAGGCTGGACATCCGAAGTGTTGTGCAGTTCGATTGGAATTCTTCGGCTTTTCTACTTTACTACTAGTAGTACTACCAGCAACTAGCTTCTGGAGCCTAGAGTCCAGAGCTAGAGTAGCTGCAGCTGTTGCTAGATTAGCTGCTAGAGCGCTCAGGATCACAGACTCCAGATGCTGTAGGACTGTACGTTTGCAGGTCATGGGTCATAGGTTTCTGACATAGTGCGATAGTCTGCTATAGCTGTAAAACCCAGATGTTGGTGTAAAGTCAGATTGTCGATTCGCGTAGTCGTGGTCTTGCAGACCGTACAATTGTACACTGTAGAAAAGATTGACAAAACATTGACTAGATTGAGCAGGCTCACCAGACTAGGCCACTAGGCTTCCAGGTGATTAGTTTTGGTGGCCTGTTGCACCGGTTGCCGAGTCATCGTCATGAGAGTCGTTGCAAGGTTAGTGCAGATCAGATTTGCATGAGTCCGATGCATTCGCAGCATTGTCAGCTATGCATGTGCAAGTGCAAAACGCCCAAAATGTTCTCCAGAAAATTGTGCTATGAATCAGACAATTCAACCGCACCACCAAGTTGCTGGAAATCGAGTCCGAAAAGCCTGGGGTCTAGAGTCTAGGAGTCCAGGGCATTGGGAACGTTTGTCAGACAGATGAGTAACAGTAGCAGATATCATTGTAGAGTCGTAGAGCACGAGGACCCAGGGACCCAGTGCTGCCAGCAGCTTCATGCCTTGGTTTTAGTAATGCGAGAGCTAGTCAGCTAGTCGTTTTGTGTGGGTCTCACCATGTTCTTGATTCGCCCAGTATGGCATGGGTTGGGATGCAGTCGCCGATGCAATCGATTCAGACACTGAAGCGACTGAAGCGGATATAGCAGCTGCAAATGTTGCAGCAGAGCCGTCGGTGCGGCAAGCTTCGTCAGCAAATGTCGTGCCCCGTGTATCGGCCGGTCGTCCTAGAGGCAGTGTACTGATCAGGGCAGACATCGCTGCTCAAGAAGAGCAGTTGCAGTCTTGCAGGGCGGCAAGACAAGCTGAACCCGACACAGATGCTGTTGTGGGAGTTCAGGTGGAAGAGCGAGCTTCTGCTTTGCTAGCTTTGACTTCCGATGTCAACCCGATTCAAAAGAGATTATGCTTGCATGTGGACCAACAGTTGGCCAAAAAGTCTTTGCCTGGCATGCCAAACCCTGTCGAGCAGGTCATGAGTACGTCTTCAAACGTGAGTTCATGGGCAATCAAAGCTTTGGAGGCAAACAAGCAGTACCAGTATGTACAGCAGGACTACTTTCGAACAGCAGAAGCGATGTTGCAAGCTTCTGGGTTTTTGTGGTCGGTGACACTACAGCGACTGCACGACATGGCTGAGCAAGGCTTTGAACCTTTGGCAGTGCTTCGCAAACGACGTTACGACGAGAGTCCTTTCAACTTGCGCTTGAAAGAGGAACCGGTGCCAACCCAGTCTGAGAGCTCGCCGCCGGTGCTTGGGCAACCTGCCAAGACAACTCCTGGGAAGGCGAAGGTCATGCAATCAGAACTGGGCATCGTGGTGTTGCTTCGACGCCGTGTTGATGCCGACAAGTACGAGTACCAGGAGGTTCATGGCTCCTGTCCTACGTGGCTCCACGTGCTGGACAAAACGACGAAGGAGAACATCGCTGAGAGCCAGCGGCAAATTCAATCCTTGATTCAAATACCGCAACAGCTCAAAGAGCGATCGAAGATGCTGGTAGATGTGGTGTGCACAGATCGGTATGCGGCAAACATCAGTGCCGAGCGAGCCCTTCAATCCGAAGAGCGCGAGTATATCAAAAGCCATCACTTTTGTCTTCTTCACAAGGCTGCTGCTATCCAATCAGCTCAGTTCAAGCTGACTTCCGGACATATCAGTGGGCTCCTATCACTTAGCTTGTCGATGGCTCCAGCCGGGACGACGGCCGAGCTGCGGAAGATCCTCTGTGCCATCCTGGCACAGAAGCTGATTGTGCGTCATGGTGATCCACCGAGTCACTGTGTCGCACATCGCGAAGCTCTGCATGAGCTGTTTCTGCCGCTGGGCGCAGAAACACAGCGGTCGTTGCTTCATCAAAAGCAGAGAATGATTCTCTCCTCTCTGGTCAATGGCGATTTGCAAGATGAGGCGACAATCACCTACTGGACGGCCAACCCAGAGGTTACCAAGGATGCGATTTTGGACTCCTGGGTACGACATGTCTCTGCAGCGCTTCTGCCGCACAAGATGCCGTACTTCAACAGGAGCAAGTGGCTCGGAGGCGAGGATGGGATTTCCTGGGCGGGGCTGCTGAGCACACACCACGGCCTTCTTGTGCCACTTGTGCAGACGTGGGCACAGTCTACAGGCATTCCTGCCGTCGTTGCGGCGGCTCCGAGGTCTCGCCCTGCTGCAGAAGTCCCGGGAAGTTCCCAAGGATGGGCGGCGGTGGCAGATGTCATAGGCAGTCGGCCGATCCAAGATACATCTGCTGACTCGGCCTTTGATGCTGTGGACCCAGATGTTCCTGAAGCTTACCAAGCTTAGTAGCAGGAGTAGCTGAGTAGCTTACTAGCTGCTCAGTAGCTTCAGTAGCTCAGTCCCAGTAGTATTAGCTGAATGCGTACATTTGGTATACAGGGGGGTATATTTTGCACATGTTTAACATATTTGGAGTATTACTTCTTATATTGACTCTATCCGTCTATCCATACTCTGACTCTATACTGTTTATACTCTGGACTCTACTACTTACTACTATACTATACTCTATACTAACTTTCTTCTATTCAAATTTGACAGTGTTAGTGACTGTTAGTGTTCTTTTGCGGATTATGTTTTCAACAACAAGGAAGACTTGGGCACTGCAGCAGATGACATGCCTCCCGAGTCAAACCCAGATATATCGTGGCATGAGTTCAACAAAATGAACCGACGCAAAGCATTAGCTTGGGTGATGTCTTCCCCCGCTGGAGTGCTTGTTTGCATGAGAGTCTGCATGAAAGCCTCTTTGCACTTGCTGTACACACTGGTGCATCTGGCATCGGTGGCCTTTGTGCAAGAACAGATGAAGAAATCGAGCCAGGGCAAGCAGAGGTTGCACCGGGTCGTGGAGTTTTTCTCTGGCAAGCTACAGACTGTTTTCACGAAGCATGTGCTTGACACATTGTCTTCGTGTTTGCCAGGGCTGCCAGATGATGCTCACACAGATGCGATTCGATCGTTGGCCTTCCGAATGTTGTCTGTCAGCTTGTGTGCTGCCCAGCAGCTGATATGGAGCCTCGGTGCTGGATCTCCATTCGTCCTTTTTCGCACATTAGCTGGCGGTGCGCAGGAGCTTTGCGATTTGCCAAGGTGTTTGCACGACCAGATCACACATTTTTTCATGAGTACCTTCCCTGAGCCTGCGGATTTCCAAGGAGAGCTTGCGCAGCAAATGCTGCAGGTGCTGGCACAACATTTTCAGCTTGACATACTGGATTTGGAGAGAAACCACAGTACAATCCGCAGGAATATTCTCAGCAAGTCCATGCACACATGGGTCACCAGTTATGCTTGTGCGAATGCACATTGGGTGGTTCGTCGGGTTGCCTTACTTCGACAGCCGTTCCGCCAGCCGCCGAAGCAGCCCAAAAAAGTCGGGAGGCCCGCAAAGCCCCGCAGATCCAAACAAGGTGGCGGATCTTGGAGAGCTTGGCTTCACCTCAAAGCCCGAACTAGGGGTGCTCCATGGACCAAGCGAGATATGGCACGAATCAGGCGAGAGTACCATGCCGCGAAAGCGGCCCGCACTGCGGACTTTGAACTAGCCAAGAATTTGGGTGTGCTCGGACAGATGGCGCACAGGGCAGGCAAGAGAAGCTTCTCGCAGCCTGAAGGCCGTGCCAGACGGTCGAGAGAAAACAAAGAGCGAGCGGTGGAAGCTCTGGGCCGCTCCGCCCAGGCCAGTGCAGAGGCCATCGCAAACTGTGCAAATGGTCAGGAACTTGACAAGGAGCTGCAGCTGCAGCTCTCCGCGCTCGCTTCTGTGAGCAGGACACGCACGAAGCACAGAAACATGGAGGCTGAAGCGATCGATGCTGCTGTAACTGCCGGTTCTGAAGCTTTGGAGCCTCACCACACAGAGTCTGGATTGGCTCGAGCAGACCGGATTTCTGGGCAGATCGGGAAGGCCTTCGTCTTCACACCTGGGCAGCCTGCCGTTGCTCAGTTCTTGGTTCCAACTGACGGCTTTTGCCAGGAGAAGAGTTTTGTTGAGGTTGCATAGCGGCATGCTTACCACAATGATCCTGTCTGTGTGTGGTTGTTTTGGTGGTAGTCAGGTAGTCACCGGTAATCACTAGGTCCCTAGGTCACTAGGTAGTCGTCTCCTGAAGAAAGCGAGTGGGGTGATCGTATCCATACCTTGCTCCTGATAGAAACCGAGTAGGGTGATCGTATCCATACGTTGCTCCTGATGCCTTGTGAAATAGCTCAGTACTTTGGTCGGTCTGTCATTGTCTGTCATAGTCATAGTCATAACCAATAGCTCAGTAGCCCGAACCTCAACGCCTCGTTTGACTCCAGGAAGCCGCAACATTTTCTGCTTTTTAGCTGAAACTTTAGCTGCGACAGCGACGGGTGTGATTCTATGTTTTTGCCCCAGGAGCTGTTCAAGCCCACGTCCAAGCAGAACGAAGGACACGGCATGGGTTTGAATGCCATGTTGGATGAAAGCTGGTCCAACAGATGCACATTGACTAGGCAGAGTGCTGCTCCAGCCTTGGACGTCTCAGGTGCTTTCCAGCCAAGCGTGTGCTGTTCACTTGGATTCTGTGTTCATGCAGGGAAGGGCTTGCAAGCCTTCGCGATGCATTCCAAGTTGTCCAAGTTGCTGCGGCCCTTTGTGCAAGCAGTGCGGCAAAAGCGGAAGGTCGGTGAGGCAGTGCAGCCATCAGACAGCAAGCGCAAGAAGCCTGTGCACCCGGAAGCGAGAAAGCTTCTGGATCGGGCCATGCTCATTTTTCGGCTTCAGAATGGTGATCCTGACGTTGGAAGCTTCCGGTATGGGCAGCCACTTGCGGAAGCGGAAGCAGATTCGGCTTGGGCTTCTGTTGCAGACAAGATCCTGTTGGATGCAGGACAGGCTGTGCCAGCAGCTTCCGAAACCCATTGGCTGCATGTCGGGTACATCAATCATACCACTCATGTTTTCAGTGTTACACCAATGACTTTGGTTGACTTCAACAGCTCTGGCCATGTCGTCAAGCTATCTGCTTTGCAGCAAGGACAGGCAGGAGAGGATGTTGTCCAATCGTTTCGTTCCTTCGAATTCTTCAAGGCGAACCTGGACTTGGAACAGGTTTGGAGACTACGAGTCTTCAAGCTCCGGTCGACGAGCGAGGTACTGACACGGAATGAACTTTCGCCGGCCTGTGTTCAGGCAAGCCCATATGATGAGATTCCGGAGATGATTGTTTGGCAGGGGTGGAAGGCCGAGCAAGCCAATCCGCCGCCGCAACACAGCCGCCGTTCACAAGGCCCAGGCGGCCGTGCTGCTAGGCCAACTGCTAGGCCTTCTGGGTCGGACTCTGCGGTGGTTCCTGAAGCTCCGCCGGGTGCTGGTGTTTTCTCGGACCATGAGCTTGCCGAGCATGATGCTGCAGAGGGGTTGTTGAAAGAGGCTTCGGACCTTTTGAGTCGAGAGGAGGCACCAGATTCAGATCCTGAGCGTGAGCTTGACGACGATCCCCCATTGCCATCCGACATCAGTGTGGTCGATGAAGATACGATTGAGGAGCATAGTCGGCATAGTCAGTGTCAGTGCTGTTTTTGCTGTCTTTTGAAGCTTAGGCCACGAAGCCCTCCTCGGGTAGGCCCTCGACCTGAGGCCTTATGCCTATGCCATCCCTAGGCCCCAGGCCCATAACTGTTTCGAATGTGTTATGTTCTTAGTATTGTTAGGTCCTAGGTCCTAGGTTAGTCACGGGAAGCCTTTATCATTTTATGATATAATTTATACTTTGTGCGGCATAGTCACTGGAATGGTTTATGGCATTATGGTTTGTAGAGTCTATAGTCTTTAGTATCTATAATGACTATAGTGTAGAGTCTATAGTTTATAACTATAGCGGGCAAGATGCTCTCTAGCCACTAGACTAGACAAGACGCTGCTTTGTGGTTCGAACACTGATGTTCACCTGGTTACCGGGCCCTTGAAGGTTTTGAGTTGAATGAATAAGAGAGAGTCTAGAGTCTAGAGTGTAGAGTTATAAAAAGTTTTCCCAATCAAGACGAACGAACACTTGAGTTGCAAGGAAAGGCAGCTCGAACTGCCAGATGAAGCCCCTCAGCTTCGCAGTGCTGCTGGTGCTGCCCATGAAGTTGGGGTTGAAGAACGCCGTGACCCCGTCCCTCATGCTCGCGGCCCTCGCGTGCACGTTACCCCTAAGGAGCTGATGGAACAGATGTCGCCTCCCAAATGCAGAATGTATATAGACTTCAACGAGCATCGCTTCCAGGCGAAGTTTGGTGTTGAGCACGCTGCATGGCAGGGCATTTACAAACAGAAGCATTTTTCGAGAACGTTCACTCGTGCAGACTGGCCTGACAAGATCGCTCAAGTCCATGACTGGGCTTGGAACAAGTGGAGGCTCGTACGGGGGGAGGCTGCTTTTGCTCTTGCAGACGGAGAAGTGGCCCAGGATCCAGGCCACGTGCCGGCACCTGTCCTAGAAGGCGTGGAGCCTATCGTTCGAGACATCGGTGAAAGGAAGAAGTACAAGAGCCGTGCTGCATGAAAATCCCGTGCGCTGTCCAGAGCTTGTTCTTTCCATCATGTGCAACTTGTTCGGGCGTCGTGTTCTGATATCTCGGACAGGACGTTGTTTCCCTAGCACATCATTCCAGCTTTAGCAATTTGAGCTGAGCCGGTAGCTGCAGCGCTCCTTAGTCAGTTCAGTGATTGAATCGATAAATGACATGTGCAGCTGTGTAACTCTATTTCGTGGTTGATCATGTGGTTCGGACTGAAGAGTCCAGAGTATGCGGCTGTAGTTGCTGTAACTAATAAGTGTTGCCCCTATCCCAATCCTGTTTGTTGTGGCTTGCAACGTCGCCCTATCTGATAGCCTGTTTGTGTTGGCTGGAGCTGGGAGGGTGGTTTGGTTAACTGTGACGGTTTGCGGCTTGAATGCAGTTCATCTTCGGTTTGAGATCGAAAGGCAGCTGTCGTTACTTGCAGTTACATTGTAGTTACTATTACTATTACTATAGTTGATTGCAGATTGTTCCGGTAGTAACCAGTAGTAACAGTAGTAAGTAGTAGCTCAGTAGCTCGGTCCCGAATTACTGGATAATGCTGAGTCTCTGCCGGTGTATTCCGAAGATATCCCACTGTTTCAAACACCTTGCCCAACCTCGGTTTGAGAACATTTTGCTTCAGTGGCCTTGCCCAACCTCGGTCTGAGAACATCTTGCATGAGAGCAACCCCTGTTTTCTGAATGGTTTACAGTCAATCATCAGGAAGGCTTACAACCCCAAGCCCGATACCTGTAAGCCTTAAGCCTTAAGCCTTCACCCGTGTAAGCCTTAAGCCTTCACCCGCAAACCTGCAACATCCAGAAACAGCCACTATCACTATCACTAACCGAATGACTAACTGCACTCACCCATGGAGTCCCCCAGGCCTTAAACCTCTTTCACTAGTCACTAGTCACTAGTCTACTCACTAGTCACTAGTCTAGTCACTAGCCTAGTCCCAAAACTAGTTAGTAGGCTTTGTCAATTCTGTATTGGAGAATCCCTCCCTTGCTTCCTGTCCAGGCTCTACATCAACTTCTTCAGGAAGGACACGTACTCGAGAGAGGAGGCTTCTTGCTTCAAGAAGATGGTCGAGGCCGTCGGAATAGCCGTGCATCAGTCACCGTACCCAGGAAAGTTGAGTTTGTGTTTGCTGCATGTTACCTTGAAAAATCACCGTGCAATACCAGAGCTGCATCATTACACGGCTTATGCAGATGGGAATTTGGGTTCGTGCTGCCATGCAGGCCATACATGCACGACAAAAAAGCTTGGAGCCCCTTCCACTGGAGCGCTTGCTGCTGGACGGCGACGATCCTCTTCTGTTGGCCGAGCTGGAGCGGGAGGAGGACAACCCAGTTTTCATAATGTTGGGTATGACCGGTCGGAATTCAGCTGGAGTGTAGCTGCTGTCGTCGACCGTGATCTCTACGGACTCTACTGTTGTTATGACAACTTCAATTCAGTGTGTTCGGCTTCCAGGATTCAGTCTAACTCAGTAAGATCGTCGATTTCAGGGTTGTTTGTTTCTTTTCGTGTTTCGTGGTTTCAGGGTGTGTGTGTGTGTGTGTTGTGTTTCTGTGTGCTTGCTTGTGTGTTTCTGTGTTAAGGATTGAAGTGTGTGTGTGTGTATGTGTGTGTGTGTGTCTGTGGGCCTGTGTATTTGAAACAGAAAGCACAGGGTATGTGGGTTTGGGCCAGTGATGTGGATATGGGTGTGCAGGTACATCTTGCGAAGCTTCCTATTATTGCATAAGCAGAAGAGACACAGACATGTAGGGTGCCGGGAGGTGAGATCGGGTGAGGGGGGGAGGGGGGGCGAGGGGTGGGTGGGGGACGACCGGGGGCCCTCCCATTTAGAGTGTACGTTCAGGCCTTGGAAGGGTCACCAGACCCCCGCCCCTTCCTGGTGGGGGGGAAGGGCTGCCAGGAGCTGAGGGTGCTGGCCTGGATCCCCACGAAGGTCCGACCAGTTCCCCGAGGCTCAGGCTTTTGGGTGCCATAAATTTTTCGTATTTGATTCGTATTGGTTTCCGTATTTTTTTCGTATCTGGAAATACTGGGCCGTAGGTGTTTTCGTATTTTTTTTGTATTTTCCTAGGGAAAATACAAAAAAAATACGAAAACCAATACGAAAATAATACGAACCCGCAGGGGGGGGGCAGGGCCAGATTCATGGCTCCAAAATACAAAAAGAATACGGCAGTGATGGCCTCTCCCATCCCACAATGGCCAGGCTTCTGGGCTGGGCTGGGCTGGGGGCTGGGGGGAGGGCCAGGCCGGGCGGGCCGGGCTGGGCCGGCCGGAATATTGGGGGGCTGGTGCTGGGCTGTCCTGCCACATGGCAGTATTATTACATGTCGGTGGTAGGTCTGGTAGCAGTCAGAAGGCTTGAAAATTTCAATCAGTCGGCAGTAACCAGCAACCAGTAATCAGTAGTGATTAGTCAGTGATTAGTAGCTAGCATCTAGAATCAAAAATAGATAATCTTGGCTCGGAAGAACATTAAGGTTTGCCCGAAAACAACACATTATACGTAGTGCAGCAGTCTCCAAGCTTCCAACGTCTCCTGTTACGTCAGTATGAACCTGGTGGCCGTTTCGGTTTTGATTCTCAGGAGACAACTCGCCGTGTTGCAGGGCCAGCAAGCGGGCCGCAGCAGTGGCAGGTGCAGATCGCTGAGTGGCAGAATCGTTTGGGCATTTCGGATTCTGTCGATGTGCTTCGGAAAGTCAAGAATTTGAAGCTCTGTGGGTTGCAGAAGAACAAACGGATCATGGCAATCCTGAACCTGTCAGTGCTTCAGAAGCTGAAGCCCGGGCAAAGAAGGTCGGCTGTCAGTGTTGCTTCCATCAGGAAGGCCTGCAAGACTCTCATTGTCAACGTAAGTCAGAATCCTAACCGGGGCAACCTCATCACGCCCGACAGTGGCTTCAATCATACTTTGTGCAGCTCCACTTTGCAGATCCATTTGGGCTTGCGCCGATTGATTACGGCACGCGAGATGATGTTTCAGCATGGCCATCCTCGAGACATGGTGATCCCGACCGACATGTCTGTGCACAGCCTCCGGCAGCTGGCAGGGCAAGGGATGGCTTTGCCGAGTGTGGCCACTTGTTTGTGGTGCCAATGCATTCTGAAGGCCAACAGTGACAGGGTCTGAGTCTAGATTGCGGCTGTCCTCATTTGGAGCAGCTAGCTAGCAGCTAGCTAGCAGAGCTGGATCGGATAGTGATAGTGATATCTCATAGTGATAGTGACTTCTGCTGCTATTTTGCACTGCTACTGCTACTACTACTAACTACTATACTACAACAACTGCTTAATTAACTACTATTTATTACTATCGCCGCTAACTATTCCTTTTATTAAGATTGCTACTGGTACACTAGTACTACTATGTTACTATAAGTTTAAATTGCGGGTCTTGCTATTGTTATTCTTATTCTTATTCTTATTCTTATTACTACTACTACTACTAAAGTTACTACTACTACTACTACTACTACTACTACTACTATTACTACTACTACTACTACTACTACTACTACTGCCACTACGAGTACCACTACTGAGCTACCATTATGGCTAGGCTATTAATTCCTTTTTTATCGTAGTAGTAGTATTATTATTATTATTATTAGTAGTAGTAGTAGTAGCAGTAGTCGTCGTAGTAGTAGCAAGTAAGTAGTATTATTAGTAGAAGTTAATAGTAGTAGCAACAGTAAAAGTAGTAGTAGCGCTAGTAGCTCGAGTTGTAGTACCACTAGTAAAAAACTCATTAGTAGTTGCTGTTGTTCACAACAGTGAAGATGCTGGAAGTCCTAGTGCTAGTTGCTGCCAGCTGCTAGTTGCAGTAGTCGTCGTTTCGTCGTAGTCGTGCTACTAGTAACTAGTAACTCTTGTCGTACAGGTGTGGTGACATTGAGGAAGAGAAGGAATTAGAAACGCCGTGGCGGAGTAGAGTCGAGTCTACTAGAGTCTACTGCAGTGTACAGTGCACAGTGTAGTGTAGAGTGTAGGGTGTAGAGTGTAAAGGAGTGGGTGCAGGAGCCTAACTGAGTAAGCTTATTCTCGACACTGGATAGTGTAGCTTTGCGATGTAATTACTGCGATATGATAACTCTACGTCTACGTTTCAATGGGAGATCTGTCTGTGAGATCAGCCGGCACAACAGCTTAGAGTCCAAAGATTCCTTTGGGCATACCGATGTGAGTTTTTTGTCGACGAAACTTCGAGCAGGCAGCAATGCAGGCACTGCGCTGCAGTGCTGTTTTGCATTGAAGAACGCCGTGGCGGAACCAACTTGTTTTTTCGTTTCACAGATTGCAGTTTCCAGCACAGCTGGAGCCTTGGGTTCGTAGATTCGTAGATTATTACGTGGTAGTCTGGTAGTACTTGCGCTGCCAAGGGTAGGACAGAGCTCGAGATGCGGGCTGGCCCGGAGGTTCCTGTTTTGGGATAATTAAGACTAGGACTAGGGCGGGCTGCGAGACGTTTAGTTTAGTTTACTTTAGATTCATTTTGGATTCTAGATTCAGACTCTAGACTCTAGACAGGTTGCAGATGGTGGGTTCTTGAAACCGGTGCCACACGGTCCCGTGTCGACTGCTGGTCCCTTGGCTAGGCTAGTGCTTTGCTTTTACCACGTAGCGGCCGTAGCGATCCTGCAATGACGGCAGTGCAAAGACGGATTCTTTTTCGTCCTGGTCCCGGTCCTAGTGTCCTAGGTCCTAGTGGTCCTAGTTACATTGACACTCGGTTTGTGACTCGGTTAGTGAGTAGTGACTAGCCCATAGGGGGCCATGGGCTTCCGAATGTTCCAGCAATTGCGCCATCGATTCCAATGTCTCTTTGTGCTGTTGCTTCTGCAAAGGATTGAGAATCTCGTCGTAGTCCTACAAGTCGTAGCAGCTCGTAGCAGAGCAGCTGCCTTGTGGCAGTTCCCAGCTGTGTGCAGCTATAGGATTTGGTGTGCAAAACACCAGCTCAGCAGAGCATGGAAGTGTGGCCGGGTCTCACAGATATCGTTAGGCTGCTTGTTGGCACTTCAACTTTCTCGATGTTCACAAACCAGGAGCGACATTCAGAAGCATACTGACTAGTTGCGAAGTAGGTCCAGTTGTAGGCCACTGCGGCCCTTGCAATGCTCCATCCTCTGGCAGATAGTCACATCACGACCTGGATATGGTCGGGGTGTCCTCTACACAGTCTACAGATGCAGTGCTTTAATTCAGGCCACACGTGTGACATGGTCTGTGAGTGTGAAAGGAAGCCAGCTATTCGAGTCGTCCCAGAATGTGAACTGTTGGCTTGGTGACAAGTCTGATGTGCAGAGTCTTTCGTGTCCAGAGTCCAGAGCTGTGGATTTCGCATTTTGGAAGCATGGTCAAATTTTGCTAATGATCGCTGCAGCAGCTTTTTGCAGAGTCGTGGGAAGGTCGCGACCTCCTTTTCCTGTAGCATGGGGAAATCCACCGCTAGTGCCATGAAGAAGAAGGCCCCGCCTAAGAAAGCGACAGAACCGAAACCGAAGGCCAAAGGCAAGGCCAGAGCGAAGGCGAAGTCCGCCCCGGCACCAGCGGAGTCGGTCAAGGCTGCCGGTTTGTTGTCGTAGTTACGTCGTTGTTGCAGTTACAGTTATCGCATAGAATCCGTAGAACATGGAATGTTGTAGAGTCCTAGTCAGTGTGTAGTGTAGTGTAGTGCACTGTAGCAGTGTAGTGAGTGGAAAGTCGGTCTCGTTTCCAGTGCCTTTGCCTTGTTTGGCTTAGTTACTTGTTGTAGGCTCTCCCAAACCGCAGGCCAGCTTCGTGTTATGATGAGACCAAACGAAAACTGTGACGTTGATCCATGTCTTATGTTTTGGGAGATACAAACGTGAGCCGGGCCTCAAGCCGTTGTAGATTCTAGATTGCTTTCAGCGTGCTTTTTGGGGCAGTGCTGCCTTTTCGTGTCTGTCAGGCATCGGGGTCCCAGTGCACTGACATCAAGAAGGCCAATTCGCCTCCTCGTTCGATCAGATCGATCAAAAGCAAGAAGAGTGTTGCCAAGAGCGTGGCGAAGAGCAGTCTCAAGGGTGCCAAGGTCGCCAAGAAGTGGTCCCCGTGTGGGGTTTGTGCTCGGACCCCGAAGGACGGGGTCATGCGTGTTTTCAATCTGAGTAAGTTTGAGCCGAGGGGTTTATGGCGGCTTTGGACTGTCGTATTCAGTTTCTGTCATGTGGGATATGTGAGGCTTCGGTTAGGTTAAGGGCTTAGGGTTTAGGTGTATGGTTGATGGCTGAGGGATTATGGTCATAGTAATAGTGATAGTGTTTCTCATAGTCTTAGTGACAGTATCACACCGACATAGTGACATAGTGCTGTTATTAAGTTTGGGATCGGTGGAGTACGGCAGTGTCGGTCCCTGTGCGGTCAGTGGCAGGGTTTTGGGATTGCTCGTGGGTGCAGTGAACATTGGGAATGTTGTTTGGCACCGATGGTTTTAGGAAGACACGAAGCCTGTCAGCGAAGATTAGGACGAAGTGAACAATTTTGTGCGCATTGCTAGACTGCTAGCTGCTCGCGAGAGTTCTTAGAGTCTTACGGGCGCTACCCTATTATTCGACAAGACTGCTAGCTAGCTGCAGTTGCTACAGTCGACAAAAGAGTTAGGCAGGATTTCGGCAAAGTTATTGGGAATTGGAGCAGAGTTTTGGGGTATGGGTGGCAGGTTTCACACATGAGATTCTTCCCGTTGCAATCAAGATTGAGCACTCTTGTTGGGTCGAACTTGTCGCAGCTGTAGCAACAGGAAGTCGTAGCCATCGTAGCCGGCCTCGTGTTAGTCGTAGTAACAGCTCTAGGTCTGGGTCATAAACTGTAGTAGTGAGTAGTGGGTACTGCCCAATAAATAGTTAGTGGCCCTGCTGCCAGAACTGCTTTGTGTCATCAGCCTGGCAACCTTTCGTAATTGTTTGAAAAATCTAGCTAGCCGGTGGTTGGTGGTGTTGGGTTATGTTATGCCAACTGTTATGCCCGTATAATATAGTGAATATAGTGGTATAGTAAGTATCGTAAATAGCATAGTGTAGAGTATAGAATAGAACCTATTGTAGAATGTAGAGTGAGTTATGAATGCAGGTGTAAGAAGTAGCCTTGTCCAGATAAGTCGTCGGATCATCAGGACTTGACTTCGGGTTCATATGGTCACGAAAACGTGACAACAGCCTCCTAGAATCCTACAATCTAGGGTGTAGAGCACCCTGGGAAAGGAGCTGCCGGATGACGAACGTTGGGGTGAGGTCGATGCACAGAACAATGCCATTGGCGACGGATGTGCCCTTTGCATGTGCACAGCCTTGGAGGGTTGGCCCAACGAGACATGGCCTGAGTTCCAGGAGATCTACCACAACCCAGAGGACAAGTTGCGCAAGCCGGCCTTCAAAGCCGCCCGGGTAATGCGCAAAAAATTGGGCATCATGTCCTTTCGCTGGAGCCCGCCGTCGAAGGTGACCAGCTCTGTCTGCCGGGCACGGAAAGTCTTCTGTGACGTGGCATTCATGTCGGAAGCAGAGGTTCTGAAGTACTTCAAGGTGACAGCCAAGCAACTTGGTTTGACAATCGGCTCGTTGCAGCTGGAAGACAGACGCGAGATGCTTCGAGGTTACTACGTGTCGTTGGCAGGTGTCCCGGCACACATCGTGCATGGCTTGAGGAAGGTGCGGCTTTCCTGGAAGGTCAAAGTGAAGCACGCAGCTATGAGGCTGCAGCCAGAATGGCAGATCCGCCAGGAGCAGGGAGGCTTGATGTTCAACCACTTCTCCGACCTCCAGTTGGGGAAGGCCGACGCCAAGGTGCGTACCGTCAACCGAGCAAAGCTGGTCAGCTTCGAGTCTCTGTTGCAGAAGGGCGGCAACATCAAGAAGGTGCTTTGACCATCACTCTCAAAGTTGAATATCATGCAGTCCTTCCTGCAGCAGCTAGCAGCAGTCACTAGCAGTCACTAGCACACCAGCAGAGCAGCAGGATGTTGACGGGGATGGGGCTGATGATAAAGATGTAGTACAAGTACTAGTGTAGTACTGGTACGACGACTACTACTACTACTACTACCACTACCACTACCACTACCACTACCACTACCACTACCACTACCACTACCACTACCGCTACCACTACCACTACCACTACCACTACCACTACCACTACCACTACCACTACCACTACTACTACTGCTGCTACTACTACTACTGCTACTCCTACTCCTACTCCTACTCCTACTCCTTCTCCTTCTCCTACTGCTACTGCTACTGCTACTGCTACTGCTACTGCTACTGCTACTGCTACTGCTACTGCTACTGCTACTGCTACTGCTACTGCTACTGCTACTGCTGCTACTACTACTGCAGCTACTGCTGCTACTGCTGCTACTGCTGCTACTGCTACTGAGGCCCTCTCCAAAAAAGACAAACCCTCAAGTGTCACATAAAAGATCGCATGTAGCAGACAGTCATCGCCACCGTCATCGCCACAATGGAAGTCTTCGCCATCCTCTAGTAGTAGTACCAGTACTAGTTACTAGTTACTAGTACTAGCAGTCCAGTACCAGTACTAGGAGTTACTACGACTAGTCAAGTACTAGTAGTAGTAGCAGCAGCAGCAGTAGTAGTAGCAGTCGAATTCGTACCGTGTTTGTCAGTCGTCCTAGTCCTAGTCGTAGCTTAGTAGATGTCTAGCAGTCTAGCTTGCACCAGGGTCGCCGTCGCCGTCATGAATCATGAATCCTGTGTCTTGTGTTAATAGTTATATTTGCCAGTGCCACTACCACTACCAGCCATTGCCGTTGACATGAACCAAACGTACCGTTTATCATAGTCAACAGTCACATAGTCGCATGCTACATACGTTTGGTGTCTTTCCAGTGCTATCATTATCGGTCAGTAATGGGCACCACTGTTGCCAATCTCTCTTCGCATGCATACTTCGGCACTAGTCACTAATTCATTGAGTCAGACACAAGTCGTATTATATTGAAGTGCTTTCTGTGCAGGAAGAGAATGCAGGGCAAGCCGCGGCTGGTGGCGAGCAGCAGGAGGGCGAGGCCGACGAAGGGGAGCAAGGCGAGGAGGAGGAGATGGAAGTCGATTTGGAAATGAACCCCGACGACTCGGCCGCCTTCAGCGCCTTCAGATCCGCTCCATCGCACGGTGATGCTTTCATGGAGGATGGTGGTGAGGGTCCGAAGAAGAAGAAACGTGTTTCCAAACCCAAGGTTGAGCCGGAGGAAGAGGAGGACGACGGGGTCGTGGACGGTGGCTCCAGCGACATTCCGCAATGGTTGCAGAAGGACAGTGCCCTTCAGAAAGTCATCGCCAAGCTTGGGAAAGTGCACAAGTGCTTCCTCAGCATGGACCCGCAGAGGAACCTGGACTGCACGAAAAGCCCTGCCGGCCGACAGCTGCGAGGGGCGATGCCAGTCCAAACTGTTTCCTAAAGAGTATTTAAGAGTGCAACGTTGTAGTAGGCCTTGTAGGACATTGTAGGCCCTACTTGGAGGCCCTTTTGACTTAGTAAGTCTACTTAGTATCCCCTAGAAACCCTATTATAATGCCCATAACCCAGCTTACTAATCCTAGTTACTAAGTCAAAAGGGCCTCCAAGTATTGTAGGCCTTTGAATGCAGCGGGGTATGAAGAATAGTTTTCAGATTATAGATCCTAGAGTCTAGAGATTTTCTGGACTTGTTAGAATATTCAACCAAGATTCTTTGAGCTCCAGACAATTACAGGCACGAATGATCTTGCAAGATATGGAGGCCAAGAACCACAAAGAAGCATCTCTGCTGAGTTCCCGCTTGCGACTGCTGGAGCATGTCGAGGCTCTGGCGCACACGTCGCTTGCAAGCATGACCCGGGCAGAGGTCCGAGCCCACGTGACAGCAGTCGTCGATGAGGGTCTGCAGGTTCCGGCGAGCCTGAAGACCCAGCTGCTGGAGAGATGGGCCAACGACCTGTTCGGTGACATGATGGAGGTGAAAGATGTGAACGGTGCTGACTTCAAGGCGTCCTTGGACGCCTACATGCTGACCGTGTGTGCTTTCATCCCGACGCCTGCTGACGTGGAGATCACGGACTTGAACCTCACAGCAGCCGTGCTGTGGACGGCAGCCCGGGAGGAGGTGGACTACAAGGTCAAGTTCGGTACCGCGACAAAGGAAGCCGGGCCAAAGATGGTTGCCGAAATCCAGCAGGTGCCAGAGCTAGATTAAGCTAGCTTCATTATCGTGCAAATCTTGTCCACTGTGCTACCTGTTTGTGTGATTGTTAAAGTTGCTTCGTGATCGTAGTTCATGTCTGTGCAGACTGCATAGGTCCTCGGTCTGAATCGTCCTGGTTCTAGGTGAACGTCACACTTTGCTTTACAATGCATTCTTGATTCTTGTGTATGGGACAAGTCATTTTGCACTACCCATCATATGCCGTAGATTGATTGCCCAGATTCCCCCGGATTGTGTGTCACAAGCCCAAACGTCGGAAGTGAGGCATCTGCCGATGCGGTCCTGGAGGGTCTTTTCTGCGATAGCTTTGTCAAGATGGTGAAGGATGTCCATATCCACAAGGACAGACTCCTGAAGGTCCTTTCCTGCTTTCTGCTGAACTACACGGATGAGGCGAAGGAGCTCTTGGAGTCCAAAGAGCCCCTGAAAAGTGTCTACGACCGCTTCCAGGGGGTTGCCTTCGCTTTGGTCGCTCTGATGAGCCCAGAGCCGGACTACCTCGCATCCAATGCCACCCACGTGAACGCCGTGATGAAGTATCGAGGTTCCAATGTCTTTGAGACTACAATCCGAGATCACATCGTTCGCAAAGGTGACAAGGAGAACCCCAACATGTGGACGAAGCTCTACGATGATTTCTTGGCGAAAGCAGAAGAGACGGCGAAACTTTGGCCCAAGCTCCAGGACGCCTTCACGACCTTGGCCGACATGGAGAAGGCAGAGCCACTCAGCCTTAATGTTGGCCTGTTGGTGACCATCGTGCAGGACCTCCCGCAGATGAAGAAATCGATGCGACATGGTGTGTGCAATGATGCATTCAAGAAGTTGCAGTCGGTGCTGAAGCATTTCTTGACTGCAGTGCTGAAGGCCAAAGCAGGCGAGATCAGCTTAGGAACGTCGTCTGTGACATCCTTGCAAGCCGGTGTCGCTTTGTTCCCAGAGGATGCGAGCATGACAAGACTCGGTGAGCAGTGGCAGAAGTTCCGCAAGAACTCGGAGAAGGAGATCGCCCTCACCGAGCTTCTTGACATCTGCAAAAGTTACCCGACGGACTACCAGGCACCTATGCAAGGCAACATCGGGCCGTTCCTCGACGCCTGGAAAGCTTGCCCGATGGACGTGAAGAACGGCTTGCAAGATGATGATTTGCATGTGCTCAACAGCGCCATCTGTTGGATCTACCGCGTTGTCGCCGACCTTTTCCGGGCAACGTGGCTGCCATTACATAACCATAGGCATTCCCCTACGTCACTGAGTCGTACTTTTATTTGCTACCTTTCATCTGACCTCATGACTTATTCAGTAGCTGTCACTCACCATCACTAGCTGCTACTAGCCGACTGGCTTGATTCTTAGCAGCACTGACTTGAAGAACACTGTATCAGGGCTTGGGTTTAGGCCGTTGTCTTGCAATCGACGATATTTTGCCAGGAGTTGTCCAGTCATGAATCAATGGAGTCCCGGCTTCCTCAAATGCCTAGGCCTAGATGACTTCAGCTATGCATATGGAAGTACGTGCTTTTGATACAACCGTTTGTATTTGTAGGCTAGCGGCTAGACTCGACAGGCTAGACACAACGTGCCCGCACCAAGAAAAGGCTTTTCTTTCCAAAGAGGAGGTGGAGGAGGTCACTATGCCACTCTGCTAGATTGTGAACAAAAACCTTGAAGTACTGAAGCCATTGTTATTATTCCACCACTCATTATTCGTTATGGTCAGATTGATTTGCAGTTCCAAGTTTGTGGACCTCAGCGTGTTGGTGAAGGCTACAGACAGAGTAGAAACCAGTAAGTAATCAGTGGTACCATCCAATTCTGCCAGAGGCGAAGTGTTAGCTGCTAAAAATAGCTGGTGGTTCCTGTTTGAAAAGAGGCAGGTGTAATATGTCGGTGGTAGTCGGTGCTTGAATCCTGAACTTTGGAGTCTGTAGGCAACCCAAGCGGGAGCAGTGATTCAACCGAATGTGGTGAACGGTGCCAATAAGTTGAGCGCCATCGTCCTGGAGTCCAAGCACCCCATCAAGATGTGGCTGTTCGCGAACCTGCAGATGATTACCCACACCAGTGATTTCCTCGCGGCTTTCGTGGCTTTGATGGACAGTGGAGAGACAGCCGAAGCCAGGCTGACGGGTGACGTGGGCATGGCCAGGCTAGATGCAGTGCTCAAGGCGTCAAAGAAAATGGACAAGTCCATGACGGCCGCAGCAAAAGCTACGACCGAAATGTCGCCGGAGTTGAGTGAGAAGTACAATGCGGTCATGTTCTTCGACTGCCAGGCCTTCTGCGCTGCCGCAATGCGCAACACTGACCTCCAGGACACGATCGAGCTCAGGGTGGCTGCCTTGACCGCGACCTTGACGGAGCTGTGTGTGGACATCGCAAAGTGCACAAAGAATTATGGCAATCAAACGGAGGAAAGCTGGAAGTACTGCATCAAGGAGGATGCGACCTTGGAGGAGGTGCTCAGCATAGCCGCAAACACCATCGACGGCATCGACGGCAAGGAGACTTTGCGACTTTCCGATGCTTTGGCCGAGGCGAGTCTGTTCGGAAGCTGAATGGTGGTTTGGTAGTGATTGTACCGTAGTGAAGTGAGTGTAGAGTGTAGTGTAGAAGTTCGTGAAGTATAACTGTAGACGTGTATGTAGCCGCAGCAGTTTCGAAGTCATGTGTGAGTGGAATGCACAGTGCAAATTGTTTAGGCTTAGATTCTAGATTCTCGATTCTAGATTGATTTCATATTGTTGATTCGAGACTCTAGACTTAAACTTTCGATCTAAGCATGACACATCGAGCAGGATGGAGGTACATTGTGCATTGTACACTATATTTCGCCGAAATCCTTGTTTACAACATGGCATCGGCAACATACCATACTCCCAAGGCTAACCAAAACCACTCCACGTGTTGACCCATTAGTTTTATAGTTGCTTTACTTAACACCGGCCGCCAGATATCAGCTATCGGTTCCGAGTGGGTGGTGATGCTTTGTTCGGGTTTGGCGAGCTTCGTGCTTCAACCTGTGGGGCATTATGTGGACATTCGCTTGGGCTCCGGCTTTTGTCGTTTTCAGCTTACTTAGGCCTAGGCCCTCGGTCTTCAAAGATGCATCGCTTTTGTTCAGGCTTTGGAGACTGCCAAGACTTTCGTCGACAAGTCCGTTTTCCAGCACACGAACTTGATTGAGTTCATTGGGCGTGCGCAGGTGACGCAGGATTCAGCGAAGGCCCTTCGTTGCGAAGCATTGCTCAGTTTCGCTTTGCAATCGAGTGGCAACAAGCAACGACGATTGGCGATCGTGCGCAGCCAGCTGGGTGACGTCAGTGGCAAGGCTGTGAAAGAGTCCCTCGTCCTGCCACAGTTGTTGGCAGCGGCTCGTCAAGAGGTAAAGTGATGTCGAAACATCATTTGCCTCCGTGCGGAATGCAGTTAGCCGTATCATTTGCAGTGGCAGTTCCAGCATAAAACATAAGCTCCTCGGGCCCATTGAGAATGCAATACGTGCAGTAGAGTACAGACGTAGAGACTTAGAACCTGCAGCTGCTGGTGATGCAATCTGCAACTCCGCCGTTGATTTTCCAAGACCGGCACTCTCGTGCTCCAGACTTTTAAGACTTCCCAGCTGTTCTGCAAGTAAGACCCTGTAGGCCCTAGGCTTGAGGCCCAGGCCCTGCAGGCAGTTGTTGTGTTGTTCACCGCACTGCTCGCTCCTCAGCGGCACTTGAGACTCCAGACCGCCTTGTGAGGCCAGTGCTTGAAACGAAGCGGCGTGATTCTAGCGCCAATTGATTCTTGAGTTATGTACAATGACTACGGCTGACTACGGCATCGTGATATAAGCAAAGGTATACTATGACGAGATTTTGTCATTTCAAGACACGGCATGAACATATATTTCATGAGATTACGAATATTTGGCATATGCAGAGATATTTGGATTGCCGAATTTTGGCACATGCTCAAATATCTTGTTAGCTTATGGCTTATGGCTTATGGCTTATGATGCACCTATGGCACTATGGCCTATGACCATTGCCGACATTTCCGTATCTTCTCTGGCGACGTTCTCATTATGTCAGAGTGCACAGCAGAGCCAAAGAGGTGAAAGGCATTTGTTTTAGCTGAACTTTAAAGCTCTTGTTGAGAGCTTGGGGCCCAAAGCTGTGGTGATAGTAATGACTGTGCTGCTGCTGGTGATGGTGGTGGCGGTGGTCGTCGTGGTGGTGCTGCTGCTGAAGGTCGGCGACGGTGGGCCGGGCCCGATAGGCCTGAGTTGTTGATGGGTTTCGTGGTGCCAGTTTTGTGCTTTATGCTGATTTCTAGCCAGTCCCTTCAGAATCAACATGAAAGTGGTGTAACAGTGTGCAGCGGCCCCCGGAACGGTGTATAAGACGGAATGTATCAGGATCCCAATGATCTAATTATTAATATCGTGTATACCAGAACAGTCTAGATGGTAAGGGTGTCTGCTATGTGTATTTTTTTCGTATATGTATGTATGGGCCATATTTAAACCATATTTCCAATTCGTATTTATTTCGTATTCTTTTCGTAAATAAATACAACCAATGAAACGGTGTGTCTAAGGCTTAAAGAATGTCTCAAATCTAGCCTTGGGAGGCTCTGGTGGCAGATTTCGCCTTGCCACTTTTCGAAGTGCCGATTCGATTTCTCGGCCGTAATTTGCGCACCATTTCTTCGACTCGTAAGTCGCTGACGGCATCTGTTCGGAGCAATGGTCTGCCCACCATGGTCCGATGCTCTTGAGCTCATCGTATTGCGATGATACCCAGAGTGTTTCAGAGGGTGCGAATACGGCGCTAAGAGTACGGGCATGCACTACATCTGGTGTAGCAAACATCCCTACTTGCGACTGCCACAGGTTTGTGACCTCGTTCACTACGTTATTTGCATCGAATACCAGAAGCAGTGCCTTATTGGCACGCAACATGGTCGGATTGGGATTCGCCAGGTTTAGCGTTGAGAACTGAACAGTGTCCCTGTTGGAACGACTGTTTTCATTCACGAGAGCTTGGAAATCTGGTGCTGTAACCACCTGCGCTAGGAGGTTTGATGGTACCAGACCGTGCCTCAGGATTGAGGATAATGCCTGTAGGTCCGTGGCATGCATGATGTAACAAGGGTTGTTCTGTCGAACAAAATCCTCCATGCCGACGGGCCTCGGCGCGTTAGTGGAGAGACGCTGTGCACGGGACTGCACTGGATTGCTCCCCGTTGCCATGAAGTCTGAGATGGTCATGTGTGACCTTGGTCTCTCTTCTTCAGGATCTGGTTCTTCAGCTCTTGGTAGAGTTCGTCGTGAACCGTGTCCTCCCACTGCCGAAAGGAAAATTTTGCTCATGGTCAACACATTTGCATCCGGTGGGATGTTAACGGCGGCATCTGTGGTTTCGGCCTTGCCATCTTTGTTATAAACCATGGTGACCACAAACCTAGACTTAGTGTTGAGGAGGACACCAAGCGCGATCTCTTGTGGTGTATACTGTGCGAGCTCTGCATCGGCCAACTTGAACATGTCCAGAAGATAATTGTGTTGGCCAGCAAAGAGATCTGGGCGCTGGTTCTGAAGGTGTCTTGTTGAGTGTGCCAACCACCTTCCGACTCTGTTGGTCTTGGAAAGAATGTGGAAGCACATCTCTGGTGAGAGACCTGTTACATCTGCCAGTTTTGGCACTGAGGAGGAATAGTCATATTCTCCGGATCCATCAAGGCTCACACATTGTTCTACCTCCGGTGGGAGGCCTGTCTGAAGGTGATGTGCAAGCATCGTACAGAACTGGCGTGGATCACGAGCGTGATTACCGACGTTGTTATCCCAGTATACAAGGGGACTGTTGTCCCATGGTCCTTGAAGGACTCCTTCGTAGAGCCTGACTCCATGTCTGGAGTTTAGAGTGAGCCTTGCTCCACTCGCATGGCCATATCGTGAGATCAATTGAGCAAGATCTCTTGGATGCGGATTGAACACCTGTTGGTGACCCATGATGATGAATTGAGGCTCGTGATTTTTCTCACGTTTGTGAATTCGGTGTCCACCGTGTTCGGTGTTTCGACGTGATGCTTCCCGACGAGACTCGGGGTACGAGCTATCCATGTGTGGATGTCGCTCATGGTACGCCTGCACTGCCCTGGGTAGGGCGTGTCCATCACGGCTACGGAAGTTTGATCGTGTGCTCATTACGGCACAATGACCAAACAGGATCAGGAACGCTTGGTTAGCCCGAAAGGCTGATTGCTGTGAGGCTCGAGGCTGAAAGCGGCTGCGGATGATACAGAACATATAATTCTCATGAACATGTCCGATCTTAATGAAAACGCAGCTCGCAGACACAAATTTTCTTTTAGACGGAAAACAGTCTAAATAGAAAATCCAGCACATGGTTGTGCTACCAGCAAACGAGACTACCACCATATTCCTTGGCAGTAAAATAATCGGTAAATCTCTGTTGAGATATCAATTCCAAGGAAGGCTACCGCTGTGGCGGCATTCTTGAGATTGTCTATGATCCACCGAACAGTGAAAGCTTTATGTTGAAGAAGTTCACGGAAGGGTGGATGAATGTCTGTTTCTGGTAAATTCCCTGTTTCCAGAGCCTTGATAAGCTCATCAGGTTGCGCCGAGTGCTTTGTTAATGCATCAGCTAGGCAGTACTTCGAGCTTACATGAGCTAGGTCATCTAAAGATCCAGAGTTGGATTCCTTACGAAGCATCTGAATGAGGTGGTGAGTTTCCTTCTGCTCTGGAAGGTGTGTCGTGCCTGCTGTTGTCACAAGATTGTTCGCATCTGTTCTGATATGTATGGGTACGGTCTCTGATGAGAGATCTGCCCAAAGTCCCTTGAGGAACAGGCAAGTACCAAAGCAACGCATCAGTGCGTTAAGCTCTGCCACTGTTGTGGACATTGTGGTTGTCGTAATCTTGTGAGACTCATAATCCACCAGGCTACCTCTCGAGGATGTTTCCTTAATAGAGGATTCAGAGAAATCGTTCTTCTTGGAAGAAGCAGCTGCTGCTGATTGTTTCATTCCCTTTAGCTTTGGATTTCGATCTTCAGCAAGGAAAATAACATGTGCTCTCTGAGATGATTTGTCATCATTGTTCCTGTAGGAAGCATCAGGGTAACCGAGGATTCTGAGATTTCCTTTCAGCGGCCAAAAACGCAGTTCTACTTCAGTAGACTTCAAAATCCTAACAAGCTTGTTCAATTCTCGAATATCACCGATAGTAGGCTTGGCAGCCTTACTCGCACACCGACTGAAGCGATAACAGATGTGAGCTTGAGTCCGGCTTTGTAGCCAGTTGATCTGTCCTAAAACACTTCTGTAAGCAGTGTGCTGCTGTGGTGTGCATTGTTGCTCATTGTTGAGCTTCTTATCAAAAACAATTTCCTCTAGAGCTTCAACAGCTAGGTTCTGATTTACTGAGATATGTGCTGGCACTGATGCTGTAGCATCCTTCCAGACTAATCTCTGTCCTACAAACATAATATCGTTCGTGTCTTCAGAACCGACTGCAAACTCCTTTTTGATCGATTCAATCACGGCCTTACGAAAGGTGTCATCACCGGCCATGCACAGGTCATCTACATGTAAACAGACTACTCCATGTACCTGTCTACCCTTGGCATTGTTGCCTGCTATGGGATCTAGGAGATAGTCAATCGCTGATTCCATGGTCTTTGGCTGAGACTTCTTGAGCTCAGCATCTGCTGTTGCAGACTTCTTACCATACAGAACATATGTACAGCGATCCGCACGGGTTGGCACCAGGCCGTAAGACAGGAGTGCCTTATCAACGATGTTCCACCATCTTCGAGGTGCATCGTTAAGTCCATAAGCGGGTTTCTTCATCCTCGCTGCAATGTAGGGAGGATAACCTGCTTCAGGAGGAATCTGACAGATTATGTCTCTCGACTCATCATAGGCTTCACCCTGCAGAAAAGCAGTCTTTAGGTCGATGTGTGTCAGATTCCACAGCTTGTTAGCTGCTAGTTGAATCGCTAAGCGGAAACCTGGGCGACTCGCAGCAGGACTATCAGTTTGCTGTATGTCCTTTTGTCGATCCTGGAAACCTCTTAGGACCCATCGGGCCTTGCACTTAAGGAAGTTTCCGTCCTTATCTCTTTTTAGAGTCAGGACCCATCGACCAGTGACATAATTTCGGATGTTTCCGAGTTTCCGTGTATCGACGAGCTCAAAGACATCATTGTCTAGCCAGCTCTGATATTCTGCTGCTTTCGCTTCATCAAACTGTTTCTTCATCTCACGCTTTTCTTTGGCGGTTGCCTCCTTCCGTTGTGCCTTCTGGGTCAGATTTGCTGAGTTCCTGGGGGAACTTAGGGATAAGGCCTTGTCCTCTTCCGTGAGAAGATC